GGCCATAAGGTTAATTGTTTGTGCAGTTGTTCTATCATTATACAGGTAAACTGACATCATTATTTGTGCCTTGTGTACCAATAATGAGTGGATCAAAATATATAATATGTCTTTTGCTGCTTGCATGGATTTGTTGTGTCCAAAACCAAACCACCTGAAAGAAACTGATCTGAGGGTAGTGTCCATAAAAAGTAATTATTTTAATTTTTTGAGCAAAATTTAGGGGTTAAGATTAAGTCAAGGTGTTACATTCCCATGACACCTGTAATTTTGAAGCGCTGTCCTACTGTTGCTTTTAACTCAAATTTATTCATCACCCATTCATTATTTCCTCTTCTAGTAAATCTAGTAAATTCAAATATCGTTGTCTTCCTGAGGTCTTGTTTCCAAACCCCACAATTGTACTGCTCATAACAACTGTTTGGGTTGGTTGCAAGAGTTCTGTTTTTGCATACCAACTACTATGTTCTGAATGATGTCTTGTCCAGGCATGCCTAAGGATTGTCAGTGTTTTGCTTGCTATACCAGGAAAAACTGGTGAGAAGCCTAAATATTTTTATCTTATATTTGTCTGTATGTTTGTCCTCTTGCTCGTCTGTCATTTGCCATTATTTGTTTTAAGTATGATTGATGGTGAGAGAGAGACGTGACACAGTTTCTTTTATGTGTGTACTATTTGCCTAATGCTGTGGTGACCTGTCACCATATCCCCACATTGACAGGCCCTCTCATTTTTGGACTGCATCCCGTGAGTTTTCTTTTTTAACTTGAACAAGCATTCTATTAATTCCTGTACAGCTTTTCAGGGATTTTGAATACTGGCTCAAAAGCTGATTCTGCAGAGTTCTTTTTCATTTTTCTTTCTGTTGATTACCATTTTTGTTGATAATATTCTAAACTACTTCAAAACCCATATAGCAACCCATATGTGACACCAATGGCAATGTTTTGGTGTGGATGACAAAGACATTTATATTATTTTTTTGGGGGGGGGGGGTTAAATTAGGTTTATGTTAAAATTGATTAAAGGGTGTAAGGTATGTGGGTGTGCTTTAATGCCTCTTGAGTAAATATTGCGTTTGTGCATGTTCAAGAATGTTGACGTAAGTGTCCCTAAATTACTTATCACCAATATTAGCAGCATAAGAGCTTTATTTGTAGCTCTGCTTATGTGATTTGGTCACCCAGGATCACACCAAATCTGAACAGGGTCACTGTTTCTTTGTTTTAGTCCTTCTTGACATTTGCATGCATATCAATTATCTCCTATTTGGCACGTAGAAAGGCCACAGACAAGACATGCTTCTGTGACACTTGGCCTCATTTCTGTTCCCACCAAATTGTGGTTTCTGTAAATTTGACTGCAGCTGTCTCTGTTTGTCCCAAACTCACCATGGTGGGTTTGAGATCTGGCAGTTGACTAAAAAAATACTTCTCTGACACCTTGTATTTATGCATGGGTCTATTTTTTTTTGTTTGTGTTGTAAATAGCTTATCTTACAGAAAAGGAGAAGTGTGTGCTCTGGGTGTAGCAAGCAGCTGGTATCTGGGGCATGTGTGTACTAAGGCCTTTATCTTTCTTGTGCTGTCCAAGCTGCTGCCTCTAAAAAGAGAACTTCCTCCCTCCTTTTTTAGCATCTTGCTTCTCGGGATGACTGGAACTGCCCCTGCTCTCTGACTCGGCTCCCACACAATAAATTAGCCCTCAAGCCTCTCAAGAAAGCTCAGTCTGCTCATGCCCAGTCTGGCTCCAGACAAAACATCAGTGAGGCTTGGCCACAACCCTGGACCACCAGACATGGCCCAATGTAACACTGACGTCTTTCACAAGCCAGTAGGGCGATAGACAATACCATGCTTTCTAGCCACATCCTACATTTTTAACAAATTTTTAAGTTTTTTTTTTCTTATAGCTGATTGTGTCATATTTCAACCGTAACTTCTTACTCCTTTGGATTTAAAACAAAAAAGAGCTTTGTCAGGTGAAGTTATAAATCTGCTGCCTCAAGAACTGGATAATTAACTGCTGTCACATTGTGTGCACTTAAAACCAACCACTGTTGAACCTTGACAGTCTTTCTTCTGTGCAGGACTTTTTGATGAATCATCTGAAATCGATGACACCATCAACCCAGTTCCCATTTGTTTGCGTCTTTATCACCTGTTTAGGTTTGCGTGTGCTTTTCTGTTCTCAGATACCCCAGTCCTTATCAGCTAGTACTGCCAACTGCTTCTCTCTGCTCTCTCACACTTTTCATCTCTCTGTTTCCCTCTCTCTCTCTCACTGTCTTTTTTTTTTTTGCTAATGTTTGTTCTCCTAAGTCACTGGAGTTTTCTACACTCAGCCAGCTGGTTTGAGAAGTTCACCCTACCAACTTGTTCCCCTCCCCACTTGCTCTTCGTCCCTCTACTCCCTGATCTGTTCCAACATTAGACCACGTGATGGGGAAGAGGGCACCAAGGGAGCTTTCTCTGGACCACTGTGTGGGCCTTCTGTCCTTACACTGTGACCTTTCTCCTACTTTAGCATATGTACTTGTACTGAAAGCCGGATATATCCCAAAAAAACAACTCCTGCAGAAGGCACAACTGCATCCTAAATTTATGAAATCATATTTCCATTCAACATTTGTTCCCTATTTGTTTTTTTCCTCCACATGCCAGATTAATTTTTACCCCCTGAGAGCAGCGTGAAAGTGAGAAACACCCACTTTGTATCCTCTTCTGGGTAACAGAAGGGGCAGCTGAATGTGTGTATTTGTGTGTATTGAACATTTGCTTAGTTGTTTTACTGTCATTGATTTAACATATCTGACACATCCCTTCAGAGTAAGATGATTTACAGTAGAATGAGATGAATTTTGATGAGGAGATGCCACATAAATAATAGTTCATATTCAGACATAGAGATGTCAATTAAACCTCAGGTTTTCTATGGGGTCAAATTTGTGTTTTACTCCACAAACAGGTTTTTGATTCATGTACATGGACTGTATTTGTTTATGTCCTTCCTGCATCTGTGCAGTGTGTAACTGCAGAGCCCCTGTGCAAATTTCTGAATGATTTGCATGTATTCCTGACCGTGAAGCGTTGGCTGCCCGTCAGACTGTGTGGCAAGTTAGAAGTTACCATGGCATGCTCACATCTCCTTCATATAGCCTGCCCCATTGATGAAGTGAAGCTTTTAAAGTTTCAGAGGGAAATTTGCAAGTGCTTTGTGTAACTGTAAGTTTGGAGAATCATCCGTCTTACGACCAGAATGTTAGGGGTTGTTTCCAAGTTCTGCTAGTCAATTTATCTGTTTATGTCCTTGTCTCTGCTTCTGTATTTAAAACAGACTGTATGAAATCTCTGTGCATTTGGGAAAGACTGCACAGTCTAGACAGTTTTCATTTTCATAAATAAAAGGTGTCATTGTGGTGTCCTTTGTGCTTGTGAGCTTCTATGTGTCTGTTCGGTTGTAATCTTTAGTTTTAGTTTCGCAGATAGAAATCTTGGCACTAAATATTGACTGTACTATTTTTTTTTGTTAGAAGAAGCTGAATAGAGCAACTACTAATCTGGTTGTACCATGAACGTCACGTCTGTGCACACAGCGTCCTCTGTTTGGTTCAGTAGTGCTTTAAGGTGGCAATTAAAGGCGTCATGGAGGATGACACAGTCATCACACAAGAAAAAGAAATTCAAGGGTGTTCTGTGTGTTCACTCATAAAAGAAGAAGAGGACAGAGAAAGAGGAGTGGGTTGATTCATCTTTTATGTTGGTTCTGTGGTTGGCGGCTAACACAAGAGAAGTGAAAGGTTTTCTGTTAAAGAAAAAAAAAGATTTGCCTCTGACACTTGGTTGTAAGTTAATTTATCTCCATTTTCTACTCGAGGTGGATTTTTAATCATGCAGGTGCATTTGGGAGACGAAACAAACAGTGTGTACTCAGATACTGTCAAGTATCCTCAGTAAATTGTGACTGTTTAATGGGAAGGGTGAGAGTACAGGGAGTTCTGTGTCTGTGTCTGTGTCAAGGAGGTGAAAAGAGGCAGCATGGGGCTGAAATACTTGGGCTGTTTGAAGCTTTGCCCACCCTGTAATCCCCACCTTGTGACTGCTGCCTGTGACTACTTACATTACTGAAGCCCAGGCCCCTTTCTCCCTCTTTGCCTTCCACTACCTTGTGTACACAGTCCATGGTGACAGCCAGCTCTCGTCATCCACCCCTGCCCCCGCCTCCAACCTTTCTCTTAAATTGCTCTGAGACGGTTCCAGCCAGTCTGTGGCGGTCAGGTTTGGACTGTCAGGGATTTGGCACAGTGGGACTGACTGCTCTCTGTCTGGTTGTAGACCAGACATTACCTGTTCTCTAAGACACCCTTGTGTGCTTGTTTGTGCACTCCATGCTGTGCATGTTATTAGTTTCCACCTTGTTGACAGGTGGCAAATCAAAAGGGTTGATGTAATCCAATGTAGTCCGATTATAAAAGGCTCATTTAAGATGTGGACACTTCTGCTCTAAAAATGTTTTTCTTTTAATTCAGTGCTGATTTATCAGCTTCAGGTGCATCAGTTTGAACCAGTGTCAGTATGGATCTTTGCAACGCATACATCAGCACATTTGAAGTAATGGACATTAAAGAGACAACAGCTGCTAAAAGTATAGCAGGGCCTGTGACAAG